CTATTGAGTGGAACTATCCAGTCGAATTAGTGTGAATTATTCTGCGTTGATGATTTGGGTTTTGATTTACGATTTACCGGACGTTAAGCCGAGCCATGCTACTAACAAGGTATACATTGAAAAGATAATTATCTTTGATTGACTTTTACTTCTTTTTTTTTTGTTAAGTATTTATTTGCGGTTGTAATTAAATATTGTTTTATCTAGCATTGAAGTTTTGAGTCATACTTAATTATTAACGGCTACCGCACGTAAGACTGTTATCAGGAAAAATCATTGTTAATGTAAAATTGTTAATGCAATATTCACTTACCAAGAAACGAATTATTCTTACAATCCAAATTGTATTTTGGCTTTAAATAAACTACAAAGGTTTGATACCCTCTCCAAAGAAACAATCAATCTTTAACTTTTCCTGAATATATAGATCTGATAATACACTTAACCACAGTATTCCTTAATATTTATTAATATTAAAAATGAATCATATGTACTCTGTCATCATCTCTTAAGTCATTTCATAGGAACAAAATCCACGCTGGTATCCTGTAAAAATAACGGACTGCCTTCATTACCTTTTTGCATTAAATAATGCTGTAATTCATTTGCATATTCCACTGCTTCGCGGTTAACCATTGTTAGAATTTTTGGGTACTTTGGACTAGTGAGCCAACCAAAATGAGCTGACTCATTTTATAGCCCACCAAGAGAAGGGTTAACCAATCAGAAAGCTCAAAATATTCAATCCGACGTGTATAAAGGCAGCCATTTTGTTTTTTTCCTCCAAAAATATCTTCACTACCAACCTCTGATATCGAAGACCTAAAGAATTACTTAACAGCTGCTACTTTCTCCGAATCTTCACTGCCAACCTCTGATATTGAACGCATTACGTACTTCACTGGATTCTATATTCAAAGACTACGGCAAACATGGTCAACAGCCATATCGTATTTTTACCGTGTTTCGAATTCTGCATATATAATTTTCCATATGCCCTAAAATGCTACACACAACAGACACAGAAGTGACTACTTGATTATGATGCGACTAATTAGTGAATCATCAATGACTTAACAAAAAGTCAATTAAGCTTGTTCAGTCTGGTGAAGCGAGGAAGTGTTGAAATTTATAAGCTGACGCATCATAAATCAAATGTTAAAACAAGTGAAATCGATCACCAAATCTCATTTAAAAAAAAAAAAAAAAAAAACTAAAACAAAAAACCCCAAAAACATTCATAATGAAAATCGAATGAAATACGTAACATAGTACATGAAGATGGATTTTTTAAATTTTTCTTTTCACCGACCAATCCCCTTGACGAAGGGAGCAAAGGCTGGCTGGCTACTGGCTGAAACTATTCCATCGGTTGAGCCGTCAGTAAGGCGGTGGGTTGTGACATTTTGTCGTGATATTATAAATTAAGTATTTAGCCCGTAGCGAGTGCCCCATGGTGTTCAGATGACATCCCAGACTTACATTGATTTATTGAAGACTAACATACATGGGGTCATGATTTAAGAAAAAGTCAAATGGTTTCAGAAAGATGATTTTTATGCGCAACAATGTTTCATCACATATGTCAAAGAAAAATAAATAATAAGAAAACTGGATAAAATGGCTTTCAATGAAACTCGTTTGATTAAGAGGATGCCTTCTTCGCTTGACTGAAAACTTCTGGAAGAGTTACAATAGCGGGCGGCAGTTTACCAGCAAAGATGAGCTTTCGAATGCTATCCTTGATTGCTGTACAGCCTGTTTCATATGAAGAAATACAACAACTCACAAAATCAATGAATGTATTTGTTGTGGATCCGGAAGAGGTTCGAAAGAAAACTCGAACTCAGTAATTCAGTGAAAACGTATTATTAACAAAAAGAACGAATACAGAAATGTTGCACGTCCGTCTGACGGCTAAGTACAGTAGTCAACTCGTCTGCTATCTACAGTCCTCTTGCGAGGCATAATATAGACATAAGACGAGTCTATTTGTCCATGAAGGTAGGTCCCCATAACAGTATTGTCATTGAAAACTAGTTTCTGAAGAAGGAGAATACAGTCTACAAAAGGTAAAACAAAGCTAGAATTATAATAATATTCAGCACCAAACAGTGAAGAAGTTCATTGAAGATCCTCGTCAACTCTGATACATATCTGATAAGTGTAAACTGAAAACTTTATCTTGTCAATCTAAGCCTTATATCATGAGCGAAGTTATAAAAAAAACCCCTCTTTGTCAAATCATGAAACTCTTATGTATTAAAGAAGTGAGGAAGTATAAAAGAACACAAGATGTCAGGTTCTCAATCAAGTGACAAAATATGAGACCAATCAGTAGACTTCCTTTAAAAGACATCCGTAAAGAAAATTGAATGAAATCTGCAACAGGATATATTTTGTCAACCATGTTACCCTTGCTGGGTCAGACAGCGAGGTAGCTACTGGCAGAAACTACCGACAATTGTTACGGCATCATCAAGACAGGGGTGGTATGATGTTTTGTGGTGAGATTATAGCTGGTGAAGTGGAGGGCAGATGGAAATTTATCGGTAAAGATAAGCTTTCGAATGCTATTCTTAATTGCTGTACAGTCTGTTTCATCTGAAGAAACACAACAGCTCACAAAATGAATGAATAACCGACTTATGAAATTCATTTCTGAACATGGAGCTTGTATTTCAAGTTAATGTTGTCTTGTTATCATTACAATGATATTGTTTTCAATATTTTGCTCAAGACTTTGTAAACTGCTCATGTCTTTGTAAACTTTGTATGATAATAATTTGTAATTACAACATAATGTTTCTTTGAATTTCCGTAATCTAGTTAATAATGTACAGCTAAGAAAAACCTGTAAAATTCATAAAAATTATCAGGAAGTTACCTTCTTGACAAATCGACCATACTTAAATTTGAACCCGGGTTTCATGGTCGTAAATGGACGCTAAAAATTTATCAACCTGATCAACTTCCCCAAATTTGATCAAACTTCAGAATTTTATAGGTGAATCTCTTTGTGATCTAGCCGAATATGTCACTACCTATTATATATATATATATATATATATATATATATATATATATATATATATATATATATATATATATATATATATATATATATATATATATATATATATATATATGATTAATGCAAATATAAAATTCGTCACACAGCAGATTTTCGTAGACGAACCCTTTTCTCTACCCGTCAAGTGGTATCAGCAATTATAGATATGGAAAGCAAAAATAAATATATATATATATATAAATGTAAAAGTGACAATAAATAAATAAAACTGAAAAGAAATCGATGTTCTTTTTCAGTTATTCCATTTATATATATATATATATATATATATATATATATATATATATATAATTCAGTGATCCTAAAATCTAATCTGAAACTTAACCTCAATAATCTATCCAACATGTTTCGCCGAGAACTATTTTTACGTTATCTAGTTATGCACTTTTTACGAGTTATCAAATATGTTCAAATCATCTTAATTGAGGTCATGAGCGGCCCCAAATGTCTGACTCAGTTTGATTTGTGAATACTGTCATCTTTCCATCGTACTGATTACAGCGGTCTGCTTCTGGTAGGCTACGCTGTCGTACAGGGTAATGTGGGGTTTTATCCATATCATACGTGATAAGGAATACAGTTCACGGCTTGTAAAACATGACTCCTTAAACTAAAACAAAAAAATCTGCTTGAATTACTTCGGTGTTAACTATAATCCACACCTTTCTGATCCGAGTCCGAGGGGTGGGGGGAGGAATACTGATCCACTGTACCCAAACAAATTATTTTGCAGATCTCATTTGGGAATCAGGACAATTGTTCGGGAAGAATTTTGTTAAAACCAAATTCGGAAATATTTTTGCGTGAACTCTGACCTGCTTAATAGTTACATATGTTATACTGTTTTCTGCTATATATTTTTGTTTGCTGATTTTCTAAACATGTTATTCCTACGAGGAAGTTTGGCGCAACATAATCACACTTGCAAAATTTCCCCTCACTTAGATTTGTTTCATATTATATTGAGCTTAATGAATATGAAGAGTAACCTGATCCAATTAGTTAATTAGTTTTGTGATTAATCAGCCAACATAAACTTTTTCCATGGTGTAATCAAGTTATTTATTAAGTTTCTTATGAGCCAGTTGCCTAAATAACTTTTTATTCATTCACTTTCGAATTGTAGATTCTATAGAAACATAGTTAATGAAGCCATTCATAAATGTGTCATGTACTCGTTCATGAAAAAATAGTACTCATTCATCTGTCATTTTATAAAGTTCATCATCCCCCTTTTAATTCTCTGTCCATCCCACACTTTTGTAATTCATTCACAAATTTCACCACACACACACACACACACACACACACACACACACACACACACACACACACACACACAAAACGAAAAATATTCAAGATAATCGCTAATTGTAATTTATCAGTTTTCGCCAACTCTCTTTTGCAATAGATAAAACGTTGGCTTCCTAGTGGAAAAAAGGGTCTGCATTATTATTTTGACGTCATTGCCATTTTGGAGGTCTTTCTCATATAAGATATTTTGCACAGTCTGAGAAAGTGATGGAAACAGTCGTTGCTCATCTGGATATATGCAGTATAACTCTAGAATAAAATTGCAGCATTTTTTCTCGAATCATAGTGTATCACGATATTTGATATTGTTTTGCGGCCGATTGATTTGTTTTTATGGCTTATTAACCTTTTGTATGTTATTTAAAGCCAGAAAATATTTTTTTTAGAATATAAGAATCTTTTGGAGATGATAATGATTTACTGATATAAGTCTTTCTAATTAACCCATAGTTGAGGGTAGAAGAGGTGGATTCATATATTTCCCAAGGGTATTTGCGCGTAAGTGAATATAACGAACCCAACTTGAATTGGAACTCGACTCTCCGATTAACAATTCAGAGCCGTTATCCATTACACCACCTGCACATCCAAGCTTACAGCACACGGTATTCTCTAGCAGTCAGCCATCTAGGTATCAATCAGGCTCGACGTTGCTTAACTTCAGTGATCATACGAGAACCGGTGTTTCAACATGATATGGCTGGAAGCCAACTTTTGCTGTTAAGAAAATTTGTATATTTACATAGCTGATAATAATGGCAATGGTGAAAATTAGCCGCTTCCATACAGGAAACATTTGGTATTCATTGACCGAACAGTGAGCGTTTTGTTGTTGCGGTTGGAAGTTTTCAAGCTATGCGTTTTTTTTTGTTATGTCATAAAACCTCTTTGTGATATTTTAACACCAGTGTATACAGGGTATGAGGTATGGTCTCCTTTACGACCTAACGGATTCATTCACTTGAAGCCATTTCTAATCATTGGCCTGGGGAAATGGTTTCTATATAGTTGGATATCATATATGTTATCCATATCAGAGTCTAGATCCGATGAAGCTATTTAAGAAGATGAGTGCTAAAGGTAATATTTTGTTATAGTAACATATTACGTATTTGGAAAGAATATTAGCATAATACAGAACCTATACTGGCAGTAAAACGCCTGCATAAGGATAGAAAATGAATTCAGTAAATATACAAAAATAGAAAAAGTTGTAAGACAAGGATGTGTCTTCTTACCGGACTTATTTAGCGAGGTGGTTTTGATATAATTCGAAGTCCTACCATGATTCATCTTTGGTGGCCACAATCTTAATAACATAAGATATATAGATGTCCCATTGTTGATAGCAGACACAGAAATTAAATTATAAGAAATGCTACAGGAGGTAGTGAAGGAAAGTGGGAAGAAAGGACTAAACCTCAGTTGCAAGAAGAAAAAGCAACAGCGCAACAGACAAACTACAAATGAGAGATACCAAAATTAAGCAAGTACAACAATTTAAATATCTGGAAAGTGTTTTAACGGAGGCTGGAAATTGAGACACTCAAATCCGAAGGCAGCATTGGGATAGCGAAAGATGCCTTCTAAAAGTTAGGTAAAGTATTAATAAATATGAAAAGTTCATTAGAAACAAAAAATGAAATTATTGAACTGTTATGCAATATCAGTTTTCCTATATGGCAGTGAATGCTAGACAATTTCCTCGAAGATGAAAAAGAGACTTGAAGCAACAGAAATGTAGTTCTACAGAAGGATGCTAAGAATATCATGGATCGAGCAACGACGAAGTTTTAGAGAAAATGAAAACAAAAAGAACGTTTATAATTGATATCAGAAAAAAACAGTTGAAATTTCTAGAGCATATAATAAAGAAAGAGGGTTTGTAAAATTTGTTACTCACAGGGTAGATTGAAGGCAAGATAGAGAGAAGAGAAGAAAAAAAAAACGAATAACCTCCCTAGCAAACTTGAGTAAATGGATGATAAGACAGTATTTAAGAGAGATAACAAGATGACAAAATTGATTAAGAGCTACAAAGGACAGGAAATTGTGGAGAGTCATGATAGCCAACATCCTGAAAGAATCACGGCCCATAAAAGAAAAAAAAAACATATTACAGTGTGGGATAAACGTTCTCCTCACGCAATCTATACTGTGTTCATTTTCCTTTTTTCCTATACTAGTGATGATAGATAATATCAGTTCTTTGCGATGTATGGAAGGCAGTAATAAATTTGAATTTTTTAGAACTTTTTTGCGAATTGGCACCATTTTTATTTTTTTTATTGTCTCTATTATATTTTAGAGTTAAAAGTTTGTGCAAACAAGTCAGTAATTCTGCTTCCACTCACTGACCAAAGGGTTATATAATATTGGTAGTAATATTTAGATTTATCTGTTCAGATATCTATCTCAGGCTGTTCAAATCTATCTATCTATCTATCTATCTATCTATCTATCTATCTGCACGAAGATAAACAAACGTGTATATAAAATGTGATTTGTTCCAGTCAGCGTTCAAAGGGGTTAAATCATCTCACTGCCCTGTTAAAAATTAAACTATACTGAGGAGTATGGGGTCACAGATCTGAACTCGCTAGGCAAATGGTTCTCAGCAAAAGAAGCCTAAATCACCCTTTTCAGCATATCTCATAATGTCATTACTCCCCTTTCAAGACTGTCCGACTCAAAAGCTACATTCCAAATAATATGCATATATTATTGAAAATTATACGCCATGTGTATTTGTAAGTGTTTTTTAATCTGCAGTGTCTGTAACATTTTCTTGTACTAGAGTTATATTCCTTGCTTTAATAACCCTGCAGTGTCTTTATGACAATACCGAATTATTTTACGATGACGTTAGGTGAAAAGACCGACTCATTGGAAAAGCAGAATCAACCGATAATGATTGCAAAACATATTTAAAGACTCAAAGACTCACATATGAAACCCTTTTGATAAAAATAGGAACATAACGAAATATGTCATAATTTTGGATGGCACAGGTAAATTAGTCAACTAATAAAACAAGAATCGTTGGATGTAATTTTCGTCGTTTGCAAATAATACAATAAAATGTATTAGTATGGGATAACAAAATTACTGATTTGAAGACTTTAATAAACTTTAAAGGTTCTATTACGGTGGTTCTTAAGTTTTTTTTTCCATCGTCTCTTTTCAGAGACTTGTACGAGCTTGTGATCCCAACCTTCCTTCTATGTTAAAAATGCACAGGTAAGGGAGCAGAGGTAATGTCAGGTATTTATGTTTTGTTACATGATAACAGGAAACATCACCAGGAGTAGACCGCGTCCGGAACAGACGAACAGCGGTCATCAGGTCAATGCATAGAAGCTACCCGATTTTCGTTTGCAGATTTTTTTTTTTATCCACACACATATTTAACATTTGCAGATGAATGTTTAAAATATATCTAAAATTTGAATATATAGCCAAGAAGATAAACAAACGTGTATATAAAATGTTATTTGTTTCAGTCAGGGTTCAAAGGTTTAATTTTTCTCATTCGTCTGTTAAGAATTAAACTCTTTTAAGGAGTATAGAACCACAACTCCGAACTCGCTAGGCCAGTGATTCTCAACAAATAAAAAAAAAAAGAAAAGAAAGAAGCACAACGCACCCTTTTCAGCAAATACCAGAATGTCATTCTTTTTCTTTCCAAGATTGTTCGAATCAAAAGATGCATTCCAAATAATATGCATATATTATTGAAAATCTTCATTTTTTTCATATTAATAGATATGTTGCGGATTTAAATCAACCAACAACAAAGAAAAAGGTGCAAAAGTTTTTTTAAAATATAAAATATTTTTATTTAGTTTTTTTTTCTACTAAGTTTTTCGTAGCGTTTATGAGTGTTCTTACAGTCCTTGTTTGTAGTTGTTTGTTAAGATGAAAAGAAATGTGATTTCTTCGCTTGTATGTGTGAGAAAAAAGAGGCAATAGGGGAAAGTGAGGAGGAAAGTGTAAGTATCACGTAGCTTGGTGAGGAAGAAGGGTGAATGAGTAAGGGGATCACTTTTAAGCCGCAGTCATGAACTGTTATCGAATCTATCTCCTTACTGGCTTGTCTGATCTAAAAACTTTGCTTATATACTCTTCAAATGGATCACAAAGCATGTTTTTATTGTCGGTGGGAACGCGGCTCATTGTTTGGAAAATGTTAAGTATTTATTTTCAAAGGATTAATTTATTAACCGGAAGGATGCACGAATCCGCTGACTCAAAACATTTTTTGTCATTTGGTGTTCGACTGTCTTGATGTTTATTCGCTCCACATATATACATGGATTATTTTTATAAAATATTTTTTATAAATGTTGCTTCAACTTTGTTGGTTTTAAAGAATCATTTGACAAATCTTTGCAACAAAATACACGCTGAGGCCTTTCTTCTTCATTCATGATGATGTATGTGAATCCATAATGAATATAAGATTCTTCGTATCGTCTTTTTGACACTCATGATGGGCTCCAAATTCTGTAAATAAAAAATAAGAAAATTAAAAGATTTTCCCCTATCCCCATGAAACCCTGAAATCCCCCATGGGGATCCCACCTCACTTGCTGGCCAAGATCCCCTGCTGGGTGAGACCTCAAGCGCTAGTCGTTGCTGCTGTGGTTTCCGTATCAAGTAAGATTATACAGTCCCATCACCAAACGGTTTTGAATTCAGAGCTGTCATTCTTCTAGAATGGTTGCCAATAATGAGAGAAGAGTTATTATTTAACCCATAGCTGTAGGGAGAAGAAATGCATTCATACTTTTCACAAGGGTATTTGCGCGTTAGTGAATATAAAGAACTCGACTGGAATTCGAAATCGCCGAAATTTCGATCTGAGCCGCTAAGTATTACACCTTTTACACACGCTGTCAAAATTATATAGAACCCCGCTAACTCCTCTGAAAACTTGCTGTTCTCTTGAAATGTCCTAGCCCCGCCACCAGGGAGCATTGCCCTCCATGTTGAGAAACACTGCTCTATTATATGCTATGCAATATAAAATAAATTAGCATAAAAGTATTTTAAATTAATAGCTAACAACAAGAGCGTAAGAGCGTATAGAAAATAACGAACATCATTAAAAGAACGGCATTAATAATGAAACAATTATTTTCTGAATCTTTCTTTTCTGCAAAAAGGCCCCTTTGACTCTTTTTACAATATTCTTTACTATAAGGTTCACAATTTACCTCTAGCAGGAAGAGTAGGTCTGCAAAATCGTAGACCCATTGCCAAATAAGCCACCTTCTCCTAACTTTTTAGCCATTATATACATGTATACATACAGAAAGCTTAAAAAAAATGGAATAAAAATCGTATGTAGGTAGGTGTTGTGGTGTGCTCCCTCTAATGAGGCTATAGTGGACTCTTCCACTTACTATAAAGTTAGTAGGAAAGTAAGCCTCGGAACAGGGATATAGAGTGAACGCTGGTCAACCGATACACACTGCCACTCTTCTGTTGTATTTACTGTTCAATACACGATTCATCTGCAACCTCTTGTTTTGTTATTTCTTAACCATTACTTGGTCACAACAGTAGGTATGCTGAGAGAGAGAGAGAGAGAGAGAGAGAGAGAGAGAGAGAGAAAGAGAGATTGTGTTTTTTACATATGTGTATGTAAGACATAGAGGTAGAGAGAGGTAGAGAAATTGTGTTTGCAAAAAGAATTGTG